ACTCTTGCCAACAAATGTTACTTCGGGCTAAGTAAGCAATTGAGAAATAATGCCCTCTCTCGACAAACAAAAATCACGCTCTACAAATCCCTTATCATGCCTGTCCTGCTGTATGGTGCAGAAGCTTAGACAATTACCAACAGTGATGAGAAGGCGTTAGGAGCATTCGAGAGAAAAATTCTTCGGAAGATCTTCCCTTACGTCCCTTACGCGTTGGCGACGAGTATCGAATTAGATGGAACGATGAGCTGTATGAGCTATACCGCGACATTGACATAGTTAAGCGCATAAAAATTCAGCGGCTACGCTGGCTTGGTCATGTCGTGCGAATAGAAGAAAGTGCTTCGGCTAGAAAGGTATTTGATTCGATACCCGCAGGTGGAAAACGCGGTAGAGGACGTCCGCATCTTCGGTGGAAGGACCAGGTGACCAACGATTTGGGGGCGCTCGGTACTACCAACTGGCGTCAGAAGGCAACTAATCGGGCTGACTGGCGGAGGCTACTCGACGCGGCCAAGGACGACACACGTCTGTAATGGCCAACTAAGTTAAGTTAAGTTAAGATTAATAACATTTCGCGGGCCGCACAAACATTAGCCTCTGGCCACATATAGCTCGATGGGCGTGGACAGTCCTGATTTAGAATATCTATTTAAAGCTAACCAGCTAGATTAGCTTTAGATTAAATAAAAATCGTAGCCCAGAGTATGTCAATGATAGGTTATACCGGCAAACTTTGAGATCCACTGAAATCCCAGTGATTCATTTTTTTCTATATATGGTTTGAAAGGATAACAGAAAAAAAATTGATCGCAATATTGGTGGGTCTTTTTTGTGAATGGGTTCTGTTTTGTATTATTTAATCTTTTGCTCCTTAGAAAATCAACTGAACGCCAATATATACATTTTCCAGTGTATTCTTATACGCGAAAAATTAATAATGGTAAAAAATAAAAGAAAAAGAATACAACATATTAATTTTAAATTATCAAATCAATTGGTTTTATATGATTTCCGGTTACTTGTAGCGCCATAAAGGTCATTGCTCGTAAAGTTAGCTTATCTCTCAACTGTCTCTAAGGTGTCTGCACTATATTTAATTTTGTTTGGAAAATTTACAATTTTTTTGCTGACTTTAAAATTTTCTAGAGATGATTTTTTTTAAATAAGTCAAAAAATTTTCTTATGGTAGTGTACGGCTTATTGATA